AGTAGAGGAAGACCACCAATATCTAATGATGGTTGAACATTAAGTTCAATTGTATTTGAACTTGGTTTAATTTCAGGTACACGAACTGGTCCTGGAGGTTCAGCATGTTGAAGAGTTATTGAATGTTTTTCAATACGAGAATTATTGGCTCGACATTCAAAATTCAAACCAAAATCTTCTTCTGATGGATTATACTATATTTAAAATCATAAGAAAAAATAAAACAAAACAAAAAATATCTACCGTCAATTGTGTTTCATAAAATGTTGAACCAATTTGTTTAGTAAATATATCAATCACTTGTGGATGATTATCTTCTAAAATGACTTGATTTATATCATGTTCTTGTATTATTTTTACCCATTGAATAACAGGTGGTGGATAACTATCAATTTGACATTTCATTATTGCTAAAATTAAATTTAAAAACAAAAATAAAGAATTTTTTTTAATGAAAAACAAAACACAATTACCTCGATAGTTGGGTACACTATATACATCAATCATTTTTGGTTCAATAAATACAGGTTTATCTTAAATCAATAAAAATATTATAGAAAGAAAAACAAAACAAACGAATAAAAGATGTTTTTTTTACATTTAACAAAAAGTTGAGCAACAGTTGATGTCACATCAGCTAAATTCTTTGCTAAACATGTATAATTTCCATGATGTTCACGACGTATAGGACTAAAATTTAATTTAATTAAACGTTGCGTTGTCAATTGAGTAGTATCAATTGATATACCATTGATCGCCTATAAAGAAAAAGAATTATAGATAGATTCTTTTCTTTTTTTTGTTTATATTTAATTTTACTTGTACGGATGTATTATTAGCATAAAGCCATTCTAAAGAAAGACTATCAATTGAAGCACGTTCAACACGACAAATAAAACCAACTTGTTTTAATGGAAAATTTTCATCAATACTAATTTCTATTGGAGATATAGGTAAAAGATAAGGTGGAACTATAATTAATTAAATTAGATTATTTATCTTTAATAGAAAAAATTTATTTTTACTTATAACATTAAGTATATATTCTGTTTTTTGTCCTTTTTTATCAAAATCATTAAATGCATGGCATGAATATCGGCCACTATCTGTTTGATCAACATAATTTATAATTAATCGATTTCCACGAATAATATATTTTGATACTCCATTTATCATTGCATGATCATTCTATAATAAGATTTATTTTTATTTTAATTCATATATTATAACAAACCTGTCCATAAAACCATGAAAATTGTGGTGATGGTATTCCATTTGCTTCACAAATTAAAGTAGCTGTTCGTTTTTCAACAGCACATGGTGATATACAAGTAATTTTTGAAGATGTTATAGCTTCTAAAAATTTCTTTTTTTCGTTAAAAAAAAGTCAGTAATAATTATTATTTTAAAAACATACGAGCAAGTATAACTTGAATTTGATAATCTTTTGATTCACCAGTTTCAATAACATCTGCTTGACACCAAAAAATATCATTATCTACTGATGAAACTCGATTAATTTTTAATCCATCATTTGTTTGTTCATAATTTGATGATAAAAGTTCTATTCGATTTTGTCCTTTAAACCATGATATTTCAGCAGATGGATTTGATATTACTCGACATTTAATTAATACAGCAGAATTTAATTCAGCATATTGAATTGGTTCACTTAGAAATGTTATTGGAACTATTAAAAGAATAAAATTAATTGTTTTAATTTTGATAAATAGAAATTTACTTTTAACAACAATTTGTAAAGTATTCGAAAATGATTTTCCATCTTGATCAAAACCTAAACATTTCCATATACCTTGATCATTTTCTGTTAAATTTCGTATACGTAATCGTAATCCAGCTCTTTTACGTTCTACTGTTATTCTACAAAGATAAATTTATCAAATCAAAAACAAAACTATTAAAATTTATTATTATAAATTCACCTTGCATTATTATCTTCTTCAATATCAATTTGTGATGGTGATCGCCAAGTAACTACGAAAGAAAGAAAAAAAAGATAAATAACATCGAATAAAGAAAAAATAATAATAATACAAACCAACTCTAGTACTTTTCTGTCCAGTACATAAAGCAATAAATGGTTTAAATTGATAACGTGAAACAATTGATTCAGCAGGTTGTATGATTAATTGATTATATACAATTTCAATCAAACAAATAACTAAAAAGAATATTCTACGATTTATCCAACTAAAAAAAAGAATTTCTTACCAATGAAGATTAAAATATGTAATAATTTCAACATGAGTATTTATTATTCGTAAGTTATAATCATAAATTTATCTAAACAAACTAAACAATCGATATTTAGTTCTTTTTCGAGCGCATTGTTTAATAGCATACGAAACATTCAAAGTTCATCGAAAGATAATTATAATCCCGAAAAGTCATTTATCATCTAGGTGAAAGTTACAGGTCCTTACGAGTATCGATCATAAGCTTTTTTTTTTGAACTACATAGAACAATAGAGTAAACTATTCTCTACAAAATGAGACATCTCCGAGTTCATTACGACAACTTTTATCATCCAAAAAGCGTCGTAGTGAATTCGGCGATGCCGCATTTTGCAGAGAATGGTTTCAGTGCTTCTACCGCTCTTCTGCTTTTTCAAATTTTCTTCTTTCTTAAATTTTTATCAATATTTTCAGATTCTGCCAATTCATTTCTTCAAAAATATAAGCAACGCTGATTATTCACATTTGCTAATGTATTTGTTCGATTAATTATTGCTATTCTATTTAAGGAGACAATTTACAAAGTTTTTATTAGGCACGAACAAATTTTATGATTGTATCAATAAAACTTTATCTTTCAAGATACATCACCTCTTTGATTATCTGAATATTTTCATAATTCTCATCACTTTCGTTTTCGATGCAAAAATAACGCTAACTATTTTAAAAACTTAATCTTGCTTACATCTTCTTTTTGTAATGGTATTTAGAACGTTCGTGAACAAAGCGTATATTTAATGAGTGAGAGAGATTAATGAGAATGACATTTCTAGACAATATATTCTTGAAGAAAATAAAAATTAGTCTATAATTAGTACTACTTACTTTAATAATATGATGCTACTGATTTTTCTTGTTATTATTATTCGTTGGACATAACCTTGGCTTCGTCATCAATGTCAAAATTCAAACTTTTCATTTTTTTGTTCTTTTTCATTCGTTTATATTGCTTTTTTTAGAAATTCAAGTATGTTCTTCTGTCAACAAAGAATACTTTTTTCTCAGTCTGATCAATATCGATAATATAGAAAGATTATTAAAGACTTCATTTTCATAATAAAAAAAAAGAAAGTAAGCATAATGTCGGTTCATTATTTAAACAAAAAAAAATTCTTATTCTTTTTTTATTTGTTTATCATTGTTCTACATACTGAGACAAGGCTGAACTTCTATTTTTAACGTCAACGTAATCACAATATAAAACTAGAATACAAGATTCACGAACTTTATTTTCATAACAAAAAAAAAATCAAACTTTAATTAATTAATATTATTAACATGAAATAATAATAATAAATTGCTCATAATCATCATAATAAAAATTTTCTTACTTGAAATAAAAAGATTTTTGTTTGAATTCGGAATAGCATAATTATGACTTGTATAATGTGCAGAGAAAGATTTAAAAAAGAAGAGCTATAATGATTTATATTCTACTGAAATAAGAAATTTTTTTTTCTTTCAATCAAAAGAATTAGAGAAAAATAAAGCGTGCGATAGGTTTTTATTTACTGAACTTTTTTTGACGATGAGTGAAAAATTATGAAAGATTTAATCTTAAACAATCTCTAGTTCTTAATAGAAGTTTGAAAAAATGTATGCAAATGAAATCAAATCACTTTACAGTAGAAAAATCTTCTTTTAAGAAACAACTGAAAACTTATGCAATTACTTTTTTTTTTGAATGAACCATTTCTCTATTTACAGTTCTCTTGATTATTTGTAGATCTAATAGATTCGTTTGTCTACTGAATTTGCTTAATTTCAAGAATCCATACTTATTGCCATCATATCGATTGCTAAAAAATGACTATGCTGCATTAGTAAATATTGAACGCGACTAAATTTCTGAACAATATGTAAGTGAATCATTCGATGCCATTTTTATAGTGAGAATTTCAATCAATCTTTTAATGTCACATTTATCATAACTCAAATTGGATCATTGACGAAGACTTGTATGACTATGATTATTGGCATTAGGGTGTACTTTTTTTGCGACAATCTTTTAAAATAAAAGTATATCAATATGCATAAATGATAAATGACAATGAAAGAATATATAATATTTAATAAAAAATTTCTAGTAGAAGAACTAATATCTAATAAAAACTAAACAGAAGAATACAATAACATAATTTATAAAGGTTGATATAAATATTTAATGAATCATTTTAGTCTTCTAACTAAAATTCTTCATAAGTCAATATTTTTTTTTGGTCGTATAGTCATTTGATTAAAATATATAGAATTGTTTTTATAGAAATTATTTTTGAAAATAAGTAAAAACAACCACATAAAACTTTTGTTGATCTTTTATAATTAGCATCATAACTGTCAAATTTAAGATTTATCTATCATAAAATGAAAATTACATAAAAAACGTTGGTAATTATTGCTTATAAAATGTAATTTTGCAATCAATAGTAGCAATATTATGTTTAGTTTTAAATTTTTTTGTCTTGTGAATAGTGTTGAAAATTGTACGAATAAAATTAATATTTTTGTTTTTGGTCTATTTGAGTACGAAAAATGATTTTGACAAAAGAAACATTATTCTTAGTAACAATCAAACGATATTTCTTATTATCGTGCTTAACCAAGGACAATTATTTTGTTGTTTATTCAGGTAATCATTACAATATTATCCTATCAACAAATGACTAAGAAACAAAAAAACAAGTGACATTATATTTGCGTATTGCCTATAAATTACATACAAATCAACTGATTGAATATTTAATATGGTTATCTTAACTGGTTATCAGGAAGCAGTGAATAAATTGGCTAATGCAGAAGTAGCTTTTGTTGGTCGTTTAACAAGTGTTACTCCAAGTTTATCAATATGTTCAACACCACCTGTAAATCATTATACACTTAAGTTTGAAAATGAATTACGACCATTAAAAGGTTCTATAGCAACTATATATGAATTTCATTATGAGCAGAAAATGAGCGAGGAACAAATATTAAATATTAGCGATACATTAGATATAACACACAATAGAAAAGCACCACAACCAGGTCAACTATATGTTGCCATACTTCACGCTGATAATAATACTATTGAAACATTAATAGCTATTGAGGAACATGATGTACCATTATTACAAACATCAACAAAATAATTTGTATTTAAATTGTGAACATTTTCTTTTTAATAAAATATTTTTACTGTATGATATCTGCTGATGAAAATATTGGATGTTGTCAAACTGAAAAAAATTTCTTATATATACAACTTCTTCAATATTTATTCATATATTATAGAGGAAACCTAATTTCTGCACTTCTTCTAATGTATTAGGACAGTTAAAAATTGGACCTTATAGGTTTCGTTGTAAATATTTAAAAAAAAAACTATGACTTCAAAAATGATAGAGTTATGCAGTAAACGGGATTATCAAGGATATATTAAACAATCATAATCGAGTTGATTGATACAATAATAATTCATAGTTTCTAGAACATTTTATTGTATGATACATTTCATTGAATAATAGAATTCATATATCAATATTATATGATGATCAATGATCGAGAAAAAAGAAGAATTATAAAACTTATAAACTTTATTTAACAGGAACAATAAGGCATTTCATTTAAAATAACAGCAAAAGTTTATATAGTCCATAAGTATCTTTACTATGTAGTTATCTATTGATTTTAGCTTCTCATTTCAACTTAATCAAAACAAAAATGGAAACTTTTGTGACCATCATATAAAAAATAATTAATAAGTCTTACCGAAAAAAAGTAAAGTACGCTTTGAGTTTTTTTTTTTTTTAAAGTATTAGAAAAGATTTAATATCATATAATTACGAAATAATATATCAACCTCGATTTATTCAGAATAATTCAACCAATTACGTTATACTATTTACTAAAGTTGTCTTCAAAAAATAATTTTTTTCAGACACTGTGATATTCATTCCATGGGTTTCATAGAAAAATAGAAACGAAAAATGTTAAAAGACAAAAACCTCATATTAAAAAAGAGCTCGAATAAAAAAAACCTTTTATAAAGCCAAATGTATATAGTTGAGATTTAATAGATATATTCCTGCAAGAATAGATGCTAAAATGAAAAATAAATAAATAAATTATCATTATAACAATCCATAGTATTAATAAAAAAGATTTATTGAGTAGAGGACATGAACAAAAAGAATTCACGACGTATAAGGATTAGTGAAGGTGTGCGAAAAGAAAGGAGCCTCAACATCAACCTATCCTCAGCTAAAAGAAGAATGTTTTAACAATTTTATTTGATCAATCACGTATTATCAATCTTTTTTTCCAATCTACTATTCACATTTGATGTTATTCCTCTCTGTGTATTTCCATTCGTACATTACGTAAATCGCATCAATTTGAATAAGGAAGAAACAAGTTAGATTAGTTTTATAAGAAACTTTTTATTCCATTCAAATTCTTTTTTTTTATTTGGTAAAGACATTAAATGTTAGAATTATATTTTCATTTTCGATACGAAGATGACAAGCTGATAATGATAAAATACACTATTAGCTTCAGTAAAAATTAAATTGATACAATAAGAAACTATGGAAAAGGCAACAATTTTCGTTTAGCAATCCATATTTTCGACGTGAACAAGGTGAATGTGACTTGGAATGTTAAAGTAAATTGACTTATTTTAAGCTTTTTAATTGCCATCTGTTTCGATAAGCCATTATTGTTAGGCGAAAACTGAATACACAATTATGTCAAAATTCTTTTTGATTCATCAAGAAAAACATTTTTATTATGAACAATATTTTTTCAATGACATACTTCTCTCTGTCACGATCGCCTCGATTCAATTGTCTCTTCAAATGTACTACCCGATCATGCAAAACAGATAGTATGTATAGAAACCATGGTAGTATTCATGTCAATGACCAATTCGAAGTCGAACTGTACGGAATGAGAAAATCAGTTACTAGTGTGACATGCTCAATTTATATTGTGGATAAGAGTTATTTTGTGGCATCATTTTTATGATTTATAAAGAAAGAAATAGAAGATAGTCTAGTTTTTCAAGTATGACGAGATTATTACAAAACTGATGTGGATTAAGAATGATTTTTGAAACGATTTCTTTTCTTGCCTAATGATGGATTGATCACTTATTACATTGCTCGAGCCGATCACTGTGACGAGTCTTAGTACGTCAATGTTAATTGATAACCTTTTCTCAAAAGTTTTGGTATAATTGCTGATGATCAATTTGATACAAACATTTAATGCATAGAACCTCGAGCATCATACTATCACCTTTATCTGATAAATTTAACATTTTTTTTTTCTAAATGACAATGATTTTTTACTGCTCAAAATATTTCTTTTAAATGCTCACTAACTTAGTCAAATTTGATATAAAGTAACTAAAAGAATTGAACGAAACACTATTATATAACTATAATTCCACTGTCATGGCTGAAGCAGTCGCATCTTCAACCGATGTAACACAACCAACATCTTCAACTACTTTATTTATAAATTCACATAAAGAAAAACCTTTACTCATTGCAGATCAATATGTTTTCAAATTGAATAAAAAAACAACTACTAAGTATTGGATATGGACGCTTAATGAATATTTAGCTAAAGTGCATACTGATTTATATAGTCAATTAATTAAAATGATTGGCGATTATAATCATCTTTTAGAGAAAGAAAAACTTGAATTCCGTGAAAAACTCAAACAATGAGCAATAAATGAAACAACACCTATTCCACGTATGTTTTATTTAGCATTTCAGAGTCGTTTTAATCGTCGAGTACATGTAAATCATTCAAATATTTGGTCATTCATCAAATTTCTACACGGTGAAGAAAACCATCTTCATCACATGCGTATTTAATTTAGTGTAGATTTAGAGACACAAGACCACAGCAAATCAAAACAATTGTTATTCGACATCGTATAGATAATCTTGACGAACGATATTATGACGGTATTATAAATGCTATGGAATACTTAGACGGTTTATCATTTACAGTTGGTAAACGAAAAAAAAAAAAGACATATTATCAATGTTTTTTTCATTATCTATATTTGGTCTTTGTTACAATGTTAACACTAATTTATATAATAAAATATATCCTTCGCTATTCACAATGTTTTAAAAAATTTACCGACCATTTTTTTATGTCGATATTATTTTTTCGACATTTTTCCTTTCAACATTTTTCCATGAATGCCTTGCCTGAAATCGAAAATCCAATGAAACGATCATAAGTCGGCTTCAACAGTCCATGGGTACCCACACCCTTTTAAGCATTGGCTATTGACGTTGAGACCCACTTGTGGGCAAAATATAAGCTCTTAATCCACGAAACACTTCGGTACTTCCCTTATCAGTATAGATATTCTAATAAAACTAAACTAACAATATTGAACAAAATGTTTTTTTTAATATTAATGTACTCTTCAATTTCTGCGCATAAAATTTAAAATAATATCGTACTGTTGACTTCTCCTGAAAAACATATTAATAATCATTTCGACATGGTGTTTACGAGGAATTTCATAAAATTCTGCCGACGCCTTTTGTGAAACTGTTAAATTCCCAAACAGATGTCTATTTTGAGTTTGAATCGATGGATGAGTTTTTTGACCAATTAAAATAAGATGAGGATTTCGTATTTTTTTCCAATATTTCATTGGTGATGCTTCACTCCATTTTTGTCGATCTTTAGAAAATACTTGTATAAATGTATCATAATCTTTATTATTTTTCGATGCTGCTTGATCTAAATATTCATACATGTCAAGGCCAAATGCATCGAGTAAAATAATACCATAAATTGGATTTTTAATATTATATTGATTGAAGAATCGAGTATTCGAATTAATAAATTCTATTAAATGTCCTCCGCTTGAATGACCCATAAGAAATATTCGATTTAGATCACCACCATAATTAGATATATGCTGACGTACCCATATGACAGCTGCAGTACAATCTTGAGCCATTCTCTCTATTTCATTAGGTGCTAAACTGTAATTAATAATTACAGTAACTAAACCTTTACGAACAAAATTTCGTCCAAGATATTTATATCTATTTTTATGACCACTTTTCCATTTACCACCATGAACAAACACAAGAACATCTCTTAGTGAATCTTCATTTGAATAATAAACGTCTAATAAATTTCGTTTGTCGTGTGTACCATTTTTGTAATTGATGTTACGAATTGAGCGTACCATTCTTTTTTTTTTCTTCTGATATATACAAACTTGTAGTAATATTATTGATCGATCAAGTAGTATTGCATGTATGACACACTCTTTAATTTATAGAATCGACCAGCTACGCACAAAAAAAGAAAATACAAATAAAAAAATAAGCGGAAGAGAAAGAGCACACCTATACTTTAATTTTTGTAATGACAGGATGACACAGACACTTTCTGAGTACACAAAAATAAGGTGAAGTTTTTCATTTAAATTTATGATTAATAGTATATCTATGACCTTATTTTTCCTTCAATTCTTGATTAAAAATGATACAAATAACAAAAACAAAATAGAATGGCAAAACATCTTACACGTCACACTAAATATACGCATGATTACTTTTGTCTCTTCTCAATATTAAGCAAACATGAAAATTACTTTTTTATTTAATGGAGTTATTAAATGATACGTTTTACTTTGACTTGAATTATTTTCAGTTTGACTGATTTATCAATTCGATATAAATAAGATTTTCTTCATTAGAAGAATTTTAATGTAAAGAGGTCACTGATCATTTAGCCTAAGACGAGGCGAAGTCAGTTGTTATAGTGATGTTTAGACATACATGACGGACAAAAATGGTAACAATCGAACTTTAAAAAACAAAATTTATGTGTGATTTGATTTGTTTTTTCTTATAAAAGTGATTTTGGATTATTTCGAATAGAGACCGTGTCTTATCACTCTTTGTTTTATATTTTAAAAAATGAATGGAAAGAAACCAATAAATGTGAAAAATTCTGCTGATCAATCTAAATCGATTGATAGAAAACAAGAAACATCACCTATTCTTATTTCTTATGATAAAAATAATGATGAGAAAAATCAAGATAATTTTATTTATTATAATAATGCTCAACAATGTATTCAAGCTATTGAACAATCTTCTATACCCATATTTCTCATATTAAACGGTACATCAGCAACTGATATTCTTTCTCGTATTCATTCATTAACACAAATTGATACTATTTTTATTTATTGTAATTCATCACGAGAACAACAAAGATGTCAATATCTTTGTCAACATTATTCAAAAATATTTGATCTATTCATTGATCGTAAACAATTACTTGATACTATTCAAGAAAATGTTCTTCTCTATCAAAAACAATCAGGTAATGATTATCTTCGTTTAGCTGAACAATATAAACAAAAAAATGAATTCAATTATGCACTTAAATATACTTATAAAGCATTGGATATTTATCGAAAGACACTTTCAAATCAAAATCATCCACTAATTGCTCGATGTTTAAATAATCTTGGTGCAATTTATGATGCTCAAGGTGACGTTAATCGTTCATTTGAATTTTATGAACAAGCTATCAAAATCTATTCTCATTTAAAACCATCTTTATGTAATCAACCAGTATCAAATATATTGAAAAAATAACGAAACAAAAACAAATTTTTTCATCAGTGATTAATATTAACAATGAAAACAAATATCTAACAGATATAAAATATGTACAATTCAAATTTCCTAATAAAATTTTATATATTGGAATTCTTTAACTAATTTCCAATGAATTTTACCGGTTAAAATTTTTTTCTAATATTTGCTTAACAGAGTTTTATTTTGTTCTTCCGACTTTGACAATAACATTAGTTGCAATTGATCTATGAATAGTTATTGTTCTTTTTTTATAAGAAAATAAAAGAGTCAAGAATAAAGTATCACACCTAATTCGTAGCTTTTTTGTTTTTAGTTTAGATTTTATTTCAGATACTATTTTTATTTAGATATCGTCGTTTTAGTTTTCTCACTGAAGGACTCTAATGACATTGATATACATTCGAATTTCTCTTCAGAAACTGTCTATAACTCGAATGCAAAATCATATTCATGTAGGCGTAAAACTATAATGTTGAAGTAATAAAATACAATGTGGAAAAGCAAAAGCATTTAACCATTAGATTCAATTTCATTTATCCAAATGAAACAAATTTATGTGATATCTGTTTGTGTATTCAATGAGCTTCTAAAGTAAAACAATTTACATAAGGTTATTTTCATAGATTCATCGACATAATCGATGAAGATGTTATATATCATTTTTGTTTCTAATCAAAGTATAAAAGACGCGAACATTTTCACAATGGAAACTGATGTTCGGTAAACTTATTTCACAAATACAATAAACTCTTTGAATTATTTTATTTAAAGACATATTACTCGTTCACAGTGTTTTGTTCTTTTTGTACGAATATTTAAAACTGAAGCTTGTTAATAAATTCTACTTCAGTTAGAATCATCACTTTTTGGATGCGTCGGAAAAGAAAAAAAAACTCAATGTTTATGGCTGATTTCTCTTTGGTTATAATCAGGGGGGGCGCGAGTCAACCAACATGGGGGGGGGGGGGGGGGTGTAGCGAAATTTTTTGGACTAGAAAGACGAAGTCTGCAATTTTTCGAGGGGTGTAACATTGTTTTTGGTGACAAATGGAAGAAAATTTCCTGATTTTGTTGAGCAAAAAAACAGAAATTTTTGAAGATTGGGGGGGTGTCGCACCCCCGACTACCCCCCGGTCGCGCCACCCCTGGTTATAATAATATGAAAAGTTAATAAGACTCAAGAAATCAGTTTAACAAATATTCATTTTCAATTTGAAAGCACCGTTATCTCTTGTAGATATCGAAGAATGATTTGCTAATATACGTAGAAACTTTTTGAAAAAATATTGAAGTTAGTATTAAATCACTTCAAAGCTTGATAACTCTTTTTAAAGAAAAAAGTATTAAATTGGCAATTTAAAAAGAAAGACACAATGTTGAATGTACTTGCTCAAACAATCGGATTTTATGATTACATATTCACTTTTCTGCTTGGTTTTATTGAATACATACGTAGTCTGGTGACATTTTCATTTAAAACTCTTCGCACTACGTCAATTGGACTGGTTTTTATATTTCTGACTGTATGAGTGAATGTCTATTGATGATTTAATTACACAGATTTCGCAAGTCAAAATCACAAAAAATGTCTATCTATGTTGTTTTCATACATTTATTCTTAATTTTTCAACGATAACGTCAGCTTGATTTCTTGTATTGATTGATATAGAACGATTAATATATGCACTTTTACCATATCAATAAATACTAATTTGTACATGAAAATAGTTTGTATACATATGTCAGACGAGTTTGGAATCGAGTAGAGATTGAAACAAACATTAAGAAATATCGTTAACGTATAAAAATAGAAACCTTGTTTATACAGTCAGTATTTATGCAACTGAGTATAAATGTTTGTTATAATTAGTTTCTGATAATTGGGACACAGAGACATTGAATGATTGGTTAAAATTGATTGAAAAATAAATATTGTGTTTTTTTATAGTATTTTTTTTTTGCTTTTATGTAATTGAGTATAAATTTTTGTTATGATTAGTTTCTGATAACGAGGACATGGAGACATTGAATGATTGGTGAATTTTCAACAATTAATAAATAGAAGTTTTTCGAGTTATTAATGAATTTTTAAAAGCAAAGATGCCTTATATCACATGTATGTCTTATCAATATGATATGAGAGCATAATAAATGATTATACATACTAACAAAATTGAAATGTGATCTTTTTTCTCTAAATAATGCAATTGATGGTGTATGAAGCATAAGAGTTCTTATTGAAAAATTTAGTATTTAGTGAATGTCATTGAATTGCTTAAATTCAAAAATTAATATACGTAAATAATTTCAAAATAATGCAATAAATAATTTTAAATCAAGTAATTCTATCATATCCTAATAATATCAAAACTTAATAGAAAAAATTCAAAAAGAAAACGTTTTTTTTATTGTTCTGTTTAATATGAATCTGTTTTGTAAACTCTTATCCAAACGAATTATTTTACATTATTTATGAAAATTTATTCCTAGTATAAAATCTTTTTTTTTGCTAATAACAGTATTCTTTTAAAATTAGTTCGTGCATTCTAAACTCAATTGAATTCTCATATCTATTATGACATATACGCTCAATTGTTGAACTTCAATTCTGCGATTCATTTCGTACTTCTCAAACGTCTTGTATAAGCTTTTATTTTAAACAGTGGCCTCTTCTTCAATTATTATTCGCTTATGTTATTCCAAGTTGTTTGATGCTTGTCTCTTTAATTTTAATTCGCTCAAAAACACATACATATACAACAAAACTGAGTTCTAAGCATCAAGAAGAAAAGAAAAACATTCAAAAGCAAATATTAACTTTCATGATTTCAAATCCTATATGTTTTCTGTTTCCATATCATCTTATTCTATTCATCGTATTATTTTTTTAAACCTTGAAGTTTCTTCATAACGCATTGATTGGAATAGCAATATTGACTGTATTTTTAAATATGAATTATTATTATAATTTTTATATTCATTGTTTAACATCAAAACTCTTTTGAGAAAAATTTATTCAATAAGTCAGACGACTTATGTCGTTTTTGAAAAGACAAAGATAACTAAGAAATATATTGTACTTCCTATTTCATCAATAGCTACTATCCATTTCAAAATAGAAGGCGAGTGATTGCGAGTCGAATAACTTGGGAACAGAAGCAGCTATGAAGCTGCGGTTTTCACCATTAAAAAGTGAACACCGGTGCACGTGAATCTATCAAAAAATTTCATTGGTCAGTAACGAACCAATAGGAGTTGGGTTTTGAACTTCAATTAAACCATTAGATAGAAAAACTTGTTCTCTTTCGATCTCCACAAAACCGACCTCAATAACTTGCTTCGTTTAGTAGCTATAAGCATTTTCTTGAGACCCCCGAAATAGGCCAGGTGACGCGGAATCACCCTTAAAAGCATTACGTGATTGGTAATCAACCACGCTGAATTCAATGATGATGTTTGTTTTTTATTTCAAAGTAATCTGAAATCACTGTATCGAGATTTTCAATATACATGTTCTTTAAGCCAAATAGCAGCAAAAACTAGATTTACGAAAACTTTTTTATAATGATCT